TGGTTCTGAGTCCTCCAAATCCAGAAATTCTTAAAGGGTCTCCGTACTTTTCATGGCAAGATAGTTACTTGCAGAATTTGGTAAGAATTGGTCCTGCTTTCACAGGATATAATTAGGCAACTTGATTATACAATTAAGGTCTGATCTGAAGCGTCATATCTGAGAATGGTGGTCATTCAATCAGCTATGCCACCACTTTGCTTTGAGAGAAGGAGTCGGCCGTATTAATGGAATCAGTACCTACAAAGCCCTCCTAGCAAAGCAAGCCTGTTCCTAGCTGACAAGATTTCAGTCTTTCCAGTAAGAAGTTTGTGTCCTCTCAGAACAGGACCTTTGGGATTCGGAGACCTTAAGGGGAGAGGAATTCCCCTAAATTCATAGGTACTGCAGGCGATGTTCGGTTGGGAGTTTCTTGGGATTGATTTCCTACTCTTAAAATGGTAAATAGAAAAGGCACTGAAATCCATCTAAGATGCCTTTTGAAAACTCCCAAGGTTAAAGAAATTGCTCAAAGGAAGGAACAACTAGGATGAGGGAAAGAAGAAAAAGGAATAAAAAAGGAAGGCAAAAAAATATATATGTGTGTGTTTATAGAAGGATAGCTGGGATAACTGTACTGCTGATGTCTGGTGATTTATTGAAAGGAACAGTTAACGCTTAAAATTTTTTATATTTTGACCAATTTTGCATGCTCAGATCTGGTAATCTGAGCAACTGATTTGAAGATAGTAATATGCAATAGAACAGCTATTGGTGAATTCCTATCATTTCATCTAGTGAAACTCTGTATTGTCTCTAATGTTTTATTTAATGATTTTTTTTTTTTATTCTCTTTAACTGAGCAACTTTGCATTCTTACATCTGGTAATCTGAGCAACTTAGTTGAGGATAACAATAGGTAATATAACAACCACTGTTAATTCTTATCACTTTGTTTTGAAACCCTGTATCATTTTTAATGTTCTTGCATTGTTTTGCTGATGTCTGTGATGTTGGTATTTTGCCTTTGTCCTTTTTTTAACTACTCTCTTTAAAATAATAAAAAAAGAAAACTCCCAAGGTTAACTTTGTGGCATCAGTAGTTGCTCAATCCGATGTGACCAAAGATTTGCAAGCTTAGTAAGACACTAAGGCTATTCTGTAAGCAGTTGGGCCACACCTAGTTAAAATAAGTCTTATTTTGTTACTGATCATTATCTCTTTCTGAAATTGTATAATCACAAGGCGAGAGGAGGGACAGAGGAAAACTGTGAATGACTCTGTACTGTACCAAAAAGATTACTGGATACTGTTTTTTGGAAGCTATGTGTTGGCTAGATGATACCACTTTGCATATCTGATTCTGTGGGATTTAAACAAAATCTTACAACTGTGTAAGTTTTAAAAATAAAATGATAACCCTGAAAATAAAACTTGTCTATGAACATCCAAACAAATTCTGGCTGGTGGAGGAATAATTGATTCCTACCCCCTATTGTGGAAAAAGCCAGTTTTGTAAAATTCATGGAGTGACCTACATATGTCTCCAGTCTTTGATTCTCCTTTGAACTAGTTGCAAGTTCTTACTGATTTCCTCATTAATTGATAAGATAAATAAAACATTTGATGTACATTCATTTTGTATACTTATATGACAGCCACTGTTTTATCTTTTGGAAAAGTATCTATTCACCTGTTAAGTTCTTCACTTTGTTCTTGATGTGTAAACTCTATTATATTTATTATTTATATATACATTATAAAAGAGTTAAACTGTCAACACTTGACTGGTTGGTATAATGTTACTTTAGCAGACACACAATTAAATATTTATTAAAGCTTGCTTCCTGTCTTGGAGTTAATTTAAAGTTTCAGACAATCTCATAGGTACTTGACAAGCTCCAAAGCCCTGGGCATTGTGCCTACAGGGCAAAATCAATAAAATAACTGAGTAGACCACTCAATAAATATTTGTTGAATGAATGAATGAATGAATTATAAATAATATTTACCATTTTGGTGGCACTTCTCAAGTGCTGAACCCTAATATATATTTCAGAAACAAGGAACACAACATAAGAAGTAAATTAAGCAGGAAGATTATTTGGAAATAATAACAGTTATGATCATTATTATACTTTGATATGTGAGGAATAAGGTACATAAGGTTGAGTGCCTTGCCTGAAGTTTCATAGTTCTAAGAACCTGGAGTAGCACTGGAACCCAGGTCTCTTGACCTTTCCACTACCCAGGATACTGTACTGGGTCTCCTGAGGCCACACCATTAAGGTAACTTAAACCTTCTCCTCCTTTGTGTCCCTTTACCCTCCAGCCCCATTATCCTTGATATGCATAGGAGACAATTTCCTGGGAGGTATAGGGCTCTTTGGATCTCAAGTTCTGCAAGCCAAGATAAGAGCCCTACCTGCCAGGAGTTCTGCATGTTACTCAGTCCCTGGATGAAAGCTAGACTGTTAATAACGTCCAACCCTAACCGTGCTGGGAAAGAGAGTGGGGTAACAAATATAACAACCCTGCACAGTTCCTGACACGGAATGCTCAAGAAGCAGTGGATGTGGATGGGTCACATTTGCTTCCAGAGTCCCCCACCTCTGTGGCCACTCCACAGCCTCGGAACTGCAGGGGTGCAGGTGGAGGAGGAGGGGGACACACAAAGGAATTGGGTTAGGAAGGGGGAAATGGTGCTAGGACAGCATGATTTGCAGCATCACTTACATATTATGAGGACTTCTTTATTTCACAAACAAACAGGTTACCTGAAGCAGGGCTGTACAATCTGGTAAATTCAAGTAAGTTCAAATTGGAAAATTAGAAGGGAGATTGAAGCAGGAAAAAGGAATAAAGCCTTAATTAATCAAAATCTCAGTGGTCCTGAGGCAAACAAGATCCAAATCTGCCTGAGCTCCCAATGTACTGAGCCTGAATCCTTCTCCAGGGCTCAGCAACAACTGGAAAAAGAGAGAAAGGACAATCAGGGGATGCGGGGGTCAGGGGAGATAACCTCTACTGAGCCGAAAATTCGAGCCTGCCTCCCACTCTCCAATCATGAAGAAGGTTTTTGTCAGCAAAAGAGTAAAACTTGTGCAGGATTTTTGCAGCCAGGGAAATATATCTATCCCTAATGTGTACAACATCCCAAAAGCCAGCTCAGCAAAAATAGCCACTGCGTCTTCCACTCCACTTGTGGCCTCCCACAACCTATAACTACGTGTTGTACAAAGAAGGCTCCAGGTTAGTCTCACTCCAGAGACAGAGGCGCTGACCTACAAACCAGGGGTGGAATAAATACAGAGGTAGGGGTCTTAACACACTTCTGAGTGAGCAGAATGAGGACTGCACTGTCCTATCCTGGGCCCTGTGCTCGAGTCACCTGAGTTTGAGTCCGTGCGTGAAAGGCTTGGAAGAGGGAGCGGGGAGCATTGCAGCAGGGAATGGGCGGCTCACTTGGATCACACCCTCCAGCTCTTCCAGACCCCGCACCGGCCCTTGAGCAGACTTGAAGATGTAGCTGCAGTGTAAAAGACAGACGGGGCCTAAGATAATTGTACTAATTCCTGTTGGCTTATTGAAAAGAACAGTTAATGCTTCATTTTTTTTTCTTAAATGTTTTTGACCAGTTTTGCATGCTTATATCTGGTAATCTGAACTACTTTGACGATAACAATATGCAATATAACAACCTTTGTTGATTTCCTATCATCTTGTTTTGAAATTCTGTATCATTTTTAATTTTTTTTTAAATTTTTATCCTCTTTAAAATAAAAATAAATAAATAAAATAAAAGAGAGAGAAGGGGCCTGGGCTTTGTTTGTCATTGATAAGACACTGGGCTCACAGTCAGCACTGTCACTTATTAGCAGAGTGACTTTATTTAATTTCTCTAAGCCTCAGTCTCTTCACCTCTAAATTAAAGTTAGCAGTACATGCGGCTGCAAGGGTTAAAAGATTTTAGTAAATGGAGGTTAGAAACACCTGCCTCACGGGCTGTCTTGAGGGGAAATGGCACGGCATAGGAAAACTCAGACCTCATGCCTGCCACTAACAAGCACCGACCTGGAGCCTGGGTTGGTCTGAGGAAGGCAGTGAGTCACCCCATTTTCCCTTCCAGGATCAAAGCCAACTAGATGCAGGAGAAA